AAGCTGCGCGGGAACGCAAGGCTGAGCCACCCACAGGGCCCACGGGAACACAAGGCTTGCGTTGCTTGCATTGTGAACGAGGTAGTGAGGGGAGGGGGAAAGGGTGGAGTGGGGGAACTTGCCCCACACGCCTCACCTGGCCACTGGGCTGCTTCTTTCTGCCTCTTTCTTCTTCTGCTTTTGGCTGCATGCAAGGAAAGCAGCAGAAGTCTTTCTTTCTCTCCCCCAAACTCCGCCAGAAATGAGTCTTTGGGACCCCGCAAGGCCTCCTGCTCCAAGGGGCTGCGCCAGCAAAGACTCATTTCTGGTGGAGTTTGGGGGAGAGAAAGAAAGACTTCTGCGGCTTCTGCTGCTTTCCTTGCATTAAGCCAAAAGTCTCTCTCTCTCCCCCGCAGAGAACGGAGCTGGAGACGGTATCCTGCGATCCCCAATAAAGAACAATCGATCGATAGGAAAACGGGTGGGGAATTTTCCTGCAGACTTTTTGAGGGATTTTCCCAGGGTCTCTGGTCTGCGAGATTTAAAAGGATGCGTTGGGTGGTCCCTGAGGTCTAAAAGGTTGGCGAACCCTGATCTAGTCCAACCCGCTACCCGAGCGGGTGACCCTACACCATTTCTGACAAAATCAATTCCTCCCACCAGTCCTTGTAATAATGGCTTTCGCCTTCCTCCTTCAAGATCACCTCCCAGTCTTTGAAATTTGCCTCGCAAATCATGATCGAGGAAGTGGCAATTAAAAGCCTGTGTGTGTGTGTGTGTAATTGTGGGCCAGTAATAAACCAGAATTGTTATGTTTAGTGGCTGCTTGGCTTCAGATCACCCTCCAATATGAACCAATTAACCTCTTCTGCTCTGATGCAGGAGCTAAATTAATATGATGAGGTCAAGCTGGCTGGCAGCTGACGGCTTTTGCCAAAGACGAGCCAAGGCTTTGCAAAAGGAAAGATTTGCTTTGAGAGAAAATGTCACCCGGCTTGGCGGCCCATATTGAAGGTGCCACGGACAGGAGATTCTCCTTGGACCCTTTTTCTGAGCCCCTCCAAATAGGCCAAACTTAGTTCAATTTGTTGTTTTTTTTAATAAAGAGAAACCTCTCTCGGGTATGTCGATTTAACGTTAATAAATGGAGCCTCTTCCCTTTGATCCAGAATTTCCAAACTTTTAACTGGGCATCTGGTCTGGATTCCTCCAAATGGGATCTCTTTTACAAGGAGGATACATACATTCAGCACCACTTCCTGGTGAAAAGTAGATTAGGTTTCCAGGTACAATATTTTCAAAGACAAAGAAGGCTCCAGGCCAACAATTCCAAATTTCTGGGCTTTTAATTCTTACCGAGAAGGCTCAGTGTTTTGGGCTCCTTCAATTTGTTGGTTTTTAAAAAAAAATAAGAATAGCATCAACTAAAAAAATACTTCTTTGGTCTTTTTAGTTGCCAGCAGAAAAGCAGTGCATTCCTTAAATGCTTCAGATAATCGCCTTGGCAGCCGAAGCTGTTGGCACGCAAGATTATTACTGGAGAGCATGATTGATGACTCTTGGTTGTGGATGTGTCTCATTGGAGAATATACATCCAGGGGGTGGGGGAAGACAGAAGCTGACAGGTTAGAACAGCACAGAGAAAAAGTGACCGGCGACTCATTTTTTCACACTTACAACTGCTATAGGATCACAGTCACATGATCCAAATTCAGCTGCTTGGCCACTGACTCATATTTACGATGGTTTGCAGGATCCCGGGGTTGTGGGATCCCCTTTTGCGACCTTCTGATGAGCAAAGCCAAAGGGGCAGCCTAACAACCGTGTCACTAACTTAACACCTGCGGCGATTCGTTTAGCGACTGTGGGAAGAGGAGTCGTAAAATGGACCAAAGTTCGCTTAATAATGGTCTCACTTAGCCACGGAAATTTTAAGCTCAATTCTGGTTGTAACTTGAGGAATACCTGTATTATTTAGCTGCGATTCTACATGGAGCAAAACCTTTTCTTCAAACTTGGTGTCTAAGTTCGCTGCCCCTTTGCACTAAATTTATTGGCAAAAATCTCAATTCTTTCTTTTAGGCCGTTGTTTTTCTTCCCTTCCTTTTCACCCCCTTTTCTCTCTCTCTCTTCTTCCTTGGCTGTCCTTCCTTCTCTCTTTCTCTTGCTCCTCTTTCCAGGAAACCCGAGCCCTGCAAGAAAGAAACTCAGAAAAAAAAAGAAGTGCCTGGCAACAATTAAGAATTTCATTATGATACAATAGGACAGTTATTACACCAGCATAATTATTAAGCCATAATTGCTAATTGTCTTATTAGCATTTAACAATTATGCAAATAAGGGCAAACAGGCTGTAATAGCAATAAAATGACTCCTTTTATTTTTACACTAATAAAAAGAGATTGCAGATTGCGTTGGTGATGGCCGTTTTGCTCTTTGGGAGTTTTATTGGAAATGGCTAAGGAGCCAAACCAAGCACCGGAGCGATCCCAGGGGGCTCGGGGGGTGGTCAGGGGGCTTTGGGGGGGTGGGAGAGCCAGGGTAAAAGCAACCACATTAAACCTCAGATGATAATGTGCTTGGGATTCTCGCGGTGGGCCCAGAGGTGGCATTCAGCAGGTACTGACCGGTTTTGGAGAACCGGGAGCAGAAATTTTGAGTCGTTGGGAGAACCGGCCAATCCCGCCTCTGACTGGCCCCGCCAACCCCATCTCTTCTCCGACTCCCGTTGAGTCCCAGCTGATCGGGAGAGGCACTGATCTACCTATGTGGAACCTTCTGGTCAGCTGTACTGGCTTTCCTAGGATTCCTCTCTCAGCTTGGAAGCAGAAGGATCCGCCCAAGATGGTCAAAAAAGTCAAGATGGCAGCCCCAAGAATATAATCAAAGCTTCTGGCCTTGTTTTCACGCAACTCGCCAACGGTTGGACTGGGTTGAGGCAGCCTCTATGAGCCCCTCCAGATTCACTGGGGGCCCCGTTTCGCTTCAGCAAATAAATCAATAAATTTGCAAAATAAATGTGCTAATAAAAACCTGCGAGGAAGCCATCAAATGCAGAGAGAGAGAGAGAGAGAGAGACTCCTTTCGTGCAGGGCTTCGCAGATGCAAATTCTTGTGTGATGCGGGGGCCCAACACCCCACCCCCACCCCCACAAAAAACCCCATCATGGATGCAGTTCAAATCCTGGAAGACAAGTTCTGCAATTGGAATAAATTATGCCTGGGGAACTCTTGAAAGTGTTGTGCCTTATTTGAAATTCTACACTCTGATTCGTCTACAGAATCAAGAATATTATAAAGAATAAAGAATATGGCATTAATATTCTAAAAATATTCTAATCTGTTGTTCTATTTTATTCTGAATTCCATTCCATTTTCTATTCTAACCTTTTTTGTATTCTATTCTATTCCATTCCTATTCTATTCTTTCCTATTCTATTCTTTCCTATTCCATTCCATTCCTATTCTATTCTATTCTATTCCATTCCATTCCATTCCATTCCTATTCTATGCTATTCTATTCTAATTCTATTCTAATTCTATTCTATTCTAAATATTTTCCCTAGGAATCCTGCAAAGAAGGGAGACAAGATGGAAGGAATTAAATTCAGATTCCATCCCTGAAGGCCCATTTCTGCAATTGGAATCAATTAAGAAGCCCTGAATAATTTTGTTTTTACCATATTTGGACTTCTTCACTGATGCTTCCAACTTGGAACTATTTTCCCCAGGAATTCTTCAAAGGGGGGAGGGGGAGGCTGGGAGAGAGGAACGAAGCAGCTGAATTCCAGCTTTTTTTTCTTTTTCCCCCCCCCCCCCCCCCCCGATTTTCTCGGAAAGCAAACCAAGCCAGGCGCCAAGACAGCAGCGCTCACAAATCTGGCCGGTCGTTGGCCCGAGTCAGCGCTTAAAAGCCACTCGGTGGCTGGTTAAGCCAAATTCATCATCCTTAAGCTGCCCGGGGAAAACCACTCCGTGATTAGCCTCGGATTTCATTTCAGGCCCTCTGTGGCCACTAAAGCCACGTGCCGAAGCCGAGGCGGCCGGATATAAACGGTCCGTTCCTTCTCTCTCCAGAGGTGGAAGCAATTTCCGAGGTGAGAAGCTGGTGGCTTGAGGGGGATTTTGAAGCTCTGGCCGAAGTGGAGACGGAGAGAGAGAGAGAGAAAAAGAGAGAGAGAGAGAGAAAGAGAGAGAGAGAGAGAGAGAGAGAAAGAGGCTGGGAAGGCCAGGTACATCCTCCTGGGAGCCTCACCTGGTCCTCCCCAAGGTGCTTCAAGGGCAGCCGGAGGGGCCGTTGGCTTGCCCAGCGGAACCGACTGGAGATCCATTTGTTCTGAAATAGCAGCATAGGCTTAAAGCAGGGGGTTGGACTAGAAGATCTCCAAGGTCCCTTCTGACTCTGCAGCTCTATTCTAAGATAGAGTGCCCCTAAATAAAGGTGCTCCATCTGCTAGGGTGACGATTGGCTAATTCCATCTCTTGGGGGTGGTGGTGGGGCGGGCAGGTTTTAATTTTGGCACAATGGATTGTTACTAATAATTCTTCCCAATTTACTCCTTATACTGTCCTCGACTCACAACAGTTTCACTGAGTGACCGTGACTTAAAGTGACTTGGGACCGTTTCTCAGTTATGACCTTCGCGGCAGCCCCACGGTTTCACGTGATCAAAACTGACTGACTCATACTTACGACCGTTGCTATGCCCCAAGGTCACGCCATCCCTCTTTTGTGACCTCTGGCAAGCGAAGGTGGATGGGGGGAAAGCCCGATTTCGCTTAACAACCGGGTTATTGGCTTATCGAATGCTGCGATTCGCTTAACGACACGAGGCGAGGAAGGCCGTAAAAACGGGGCAAAACTCACTCAGCAAGTGTCTCACTTAACCACAGGTTGGTCTCAGTTGTGGTTGTAAGTTGAGGATGACGATCCGTATTATTTAGCCGCAATGGAGCAACCCGCCCCCCCAAAAAACCCAGCGGAAAATCAAAAGGAAGAGTTGTATATTTTTTGGAAAGAGCACGAAACACAATGTTTTAATTTTAAAAAGGGGTAAGAAAAGGAGACCGTTTGGACGTTCTACTGCCAAAGTTTCCAACCTTGGCCAACTTTGAAGTCTTGCGGGCTTCAATTTCCCCGAATTCTTGGAGTTGAAGCCCACAAGCCTTTAAAAAGCTGCCAAGGTTTGTCACCCCTGTTCTATGGGACGGAATCTGATCCCCAGGAAGGGTTTAACAAAGCACCCCCAATATCTGTTTTTTTTTTAAAGCTCTGTATCCTCAAAATCAAATCACTCCTCCTGCTCGGCCTGTGACCACCGTGGATGAAGGAATGTGAGGATGGGGAAACATCTTCCTTCTCGATCAAGCCAGGATCCAGAAGGGAAACCCATCCTGGGATCCTTCCAAGTCTCTTCTTCCGTCGGAAAACTTCCAGCTCGTGGATGTTGGCCTTGTCCACAGAAGGGCCAGCCGGCCACCTGAGACAACGTCCGCCTTTGGATCTGCTGCTCCACCCTTCACATCATGGCCTCCATGTGCAAAATCTTCAGGGCTTCTGAGATCTGGGTGCTGGTGTCCATCTGTCCGTACATGCCCACCAGGAAGGCCCTCTGCAGCAGGGCAGCCGCGTGTTCTGGGGCCGGGGGGCAGGGGGGGGAGGAGAAGAGGGGAAAGGAAAGGTTAGAGTGAAACGAGACACCTGAACGCTCCTCTTTAGCTCAAGGGTGTCTCTCCTTAGGATATTCCAAGGCGCCTGGGATGGTCCCCCCACAGGTGCAGCAGAAGCAGTTAGATGGCTACCTTCCGGAGGTAATGGAGTTGTAACGTGGGACACATTGCAATTCTATGGCTTCGTTTGGTGGTGGTTTTATTATGCTTTTATCTTCATTTAAAATTTTATCTCCTATATTGTATTAGCCACATATTATATACCTCTCTCTCTCTCCCCTTCTCCATTTATCTATCATCTACCTCTATTTCTATCTATCTCTCTATCTCTATCTATCATCTATATTTCTTTCTACCTATCTACCTATCATCCATCTATCTCTGCCATCTATCTACCTACCTACCTACCTATCATCTATCCATCCATCCATCCATCATCTACCTCTATTTCTCTCTCCCTATCATCTATTTCTCTCTCTCTCTACCTACCTGCCTACCTATCATCCATCTATCTACTTATCATCCATCTATTTACCTACCTATCATCTACCTCTATTTCTATCTATCTCTCTATCTCTACCTATCATCTATATTTCTCTCTCTACCTATCTACCTATCATCCATCTACCTCTGCCATCTATCTACCTACCTACCTATCATTTATCTATCCATCCATCATCCGGCTCTATTTCTCTCTCTCCCTATCATCTATCTCTTTCTACCTATCTA